TGTTTACCTACATCCAGCAAAAATTGTCCCTCTAGAGAATTCCTGGATTTCCTTTTCAGTCACTGAACTGGCACAGTACAAACTGATGCTGTTAAATTCTCCATCTCCAAAACACACATTTATCCTTCAAAGAGGGATTTTTGGGCTGTCCCACAGTTCGGAGGGAACTCTGGCCAAATCACRTAATTCTCTTAATTAATTAGCATTCTATCCTTATTACTTAATGATTTCTCACTCTCAGCTGACCCACATTCTTTAGCTATCTTATCATCTTTTTCTCACACGGGGACTTTCCAACTTTCCAGGCTTTAAATCCTTTTTCATCTCCTGCTTTCCCCAGGGAAAAATTGCCCCTGAAGGGCCATAAATTTACAATCCCAGATTTTCCATATTCCAGCCCTTTTCGCCTTTATTTACTGAGGCGCGCCGGGGTCGTCTTTGCTAAAATGAAGCTTCGGGTGATGGAATGAAGCAATAAATTGTAAATTAATAGCGATAAAGAGAGGATTTGGGGAAGGATTCCCGAATATCCCGTTGTGTGGGGAGCGCTCGCTGCGCATGCGCGGCGGCCCCGCCCGGCCGGGATTGACCCGGGATTCACTCGGGATTCTCTGGGAATTCTGTGGGAATTCACCGGGATTTTATCGGGATTAACCCGGGATTCACACGGGAACAGGACCGGGAAAAGGGCCCTGCCCAGGTGGGTCCATTCCCGGTGCCCTCAGGAACAGCCCCGGGACGAAGCGGGATCGGGAACGGCCCAAACCCGGACACGGCAGCGGGAAAAGGAGATTTCTCCCCAAAATTCCCTACGGAAAGCTTTGTCGAGGATGTTTGGAAGTTGGGAGGTGAAAAAGAGTAATTGTGTTTATTAGTAATTGGTAATTAGTCCTTATTTCCYCTATTAAATGCAGTTAAGGCGTCTCGAGGAGCACGATGGATGTGGAGAAAACGTGAAGGAAAATGTGGGGAAAAAAAACACCTCAGGGGTGGAAAGTGCAGCTGGAAAAAAACCAGAGATCAGGCAGAGAGGGGTGTTCTGGGTTTGCTTTAATTGCAGCTCCAAAATGCTCCGTCAAGGCCCCAGGTTGGGGGGGAAAGTACAGCTGTCCTGGTCCCTGTCAGCCCAGTACAACTGTCTCAATCCCATTACAAGTGTCCTAATCCCAGTACAGGTGTCCCAGTCCCAGTACAGCCCAGTACAGGTGTCCCAATCCCAGTACAGGTGTCCCAATTCCATTACAACTGTCCCAATCCCAGTACAGCTGTCCCAGTCCCAGTACAGCTGTCCCAATCCCATTACCAGTGTCCCAATCCCACTACAGCTGTCCCAATCCCAGTAAAAGTGTCCTAATCCCAGTATTGGTGTCCCAATCCCAGTAATGCTGTCCCAATCCCAGTAAAATTGGCCTAATCCCAGTATTGGTGTCCCAGTCCCAGTAATGCTGTCCCAATCCCAGTAATGCTGTCCCAATCCCAGTACAGCTGTCCCAATCCCAGTACAAGTGTCCCAATCCCAGTACAGCTATCCCAGTCCAGTACAGGTGTCCCAGTCCCAGTACAATCCAGTACAGGTGTCCCAATCCCAGTACAGCTGTCCTAATCCCAGTACAGCTGTCCCGATCCCAGTACAGCCCAGTACAGCTGTCCCAATCCCATTACAGCTGTCCCAATCCCAGTACAGCTGTCCCAATCCCAGTACAGCCCAGTACAGCTGTCCCAATCCCATTACCAGTGTCCCAATTCCAGTACAGCTGTCCCAATCCCAGTAAAAGTGTCCCAATCCCATTACAGCTGTCTCAGTCCCAGTACATCCCAGTACAGCTGTCCCAATCCCATTTCAGGTGTCCCAATCTCAGTACAGCTGTCCCAATCCCAGTAATACTGTCCCAATCCCATTACCAGTGTCCCAGTCCCAGTACAGCTGTCCTAATCCCATTACCAGTGTCCCAATCCCAATACAGCTGTCCCAATCCCATTACCAGTGTTCCAATCCCAGTACAGCTGTCCCAATCCCAGTAATACTGTCCCAATCCCATTACCAGTGTTCCAATCCCAGTACAGCTGTCCCAATCCCAGTACATCCCAGTACAGCTCTCCCAGTCCCCACACAGACCTCRACACCCAGAGCCACCTGTGCCCATCCTGGTGTTCCAGGGGTCCATAAAGGTTTCCAGTTTTTCTGTGGGACAGAGAGCCCCCTTCCCTTCCTCCAAGGATCCARCCACCAGCGAGGGAGTGTTGGTGCCTAAAGCTCTAAAAAAACCCCAAAATAGCTCAGGAAATATGAACATGAGAACATAAATTGATAATTTACACTCAGAGGGCACAGCCAGAAGGAATCCAGGTTGTGGGAGGAAATGCAGGGACCTGGAGGAAATTCCAGCCTGTGGGTAAATCCCAAGATTTTCCATGATTCCCTGAGGTGATTCCCTGGTTCTGGAACCATGAATTATTGGGGTTTTGATCGGGTTTTAGTGTGGGGTGCAGCCATCACATCATCCCTTAATCAAGATTCTGGGAAAGACAGAGTGCCTGCCCTGCGAGGTTTCATTATTTCATCTCAGAGTTATTTTAGTTCCTGTAAAGTTGAATTTTGGGAATCCCAGCCTGTCACTCGAGCATCCCTGATAACCCCATGCTGGGGTTGGAGAGCTGCCTGTTGTTCCACAGGGAATTCTGCTCTGGCCACTCACCATTTGAAAAGGTTTTACAATAATTTGCTGCTCCATTTTATTCACACTTAAAATGCCTTTTTCTAAACTATAATGTTCTAGAAAAAAAAAACCCATAAAGGTTATAATAAGTGATTTTAACACTAATACAAAGTGAYGACTCTTACTGAGATTTGAGGATTTTATGTCAATAAGAGCACAAGCCTAAAGCCATTTATTCATGATTGTTTATAGCACTGATGAATAGAGTAACACGTAATATCTTCTATTATACAGGATGTGGAATAATTTTGTTTTCAGCAGCTTGATTTTATGCAAAGTCTTTTGCTTTTTTTGTCTTTATTCTTTTGTTCATCCTGAATTTTTAAATGAATGCCTTCCTTTCTAAGCTAGGTGGACACAAAAATTCACATTGCACAGTAAGTTTATTCTCTAGTAAACCCACTGATTTATGCAGCTTGATCTCGTTTCCACATGAGAATATTCCTTTTTTCCCAGGGATTTGAAGCTTACTCAGAAAATGGCACCTTTTTTAAACCAATTATCCTTAATCCTCTTTAACCWGTGGTTTTGCTGTTACACCTTTTTTAGATTTGGATATTATTTAATAATATTTTTTATTACAAACCGAGCACGTAGGGTGATGTGCAATCACATAACATCCTCAGCAGTCACAAATCACTGAGTTTAACCAAATTTTCTCTCTTTTCCTTCCTAGTTGTGCAGAATTTGTGTCTCCTGGCATTGAGCAGAATGCACATCACCAGCCCTGACACCTGGTGAGTTCTGTTTTATTGAGCAATAACTCCCTGTCAGATCAGCTGCCAGAAGGCGCAGTTGACACAATTTTCATGGAATTGTGGTGGGATCCCTCGGGATGGGCTCTCTGTCAGTCCGCCCCATGCCTAAATGAGGATGTCATTTTTACCACAGCAACYACTTCCACAGAATTCCTCAGCTCTCCTGCTTCACCAGRGTCCTGGGAGCTGTAAAAGAGGTCAAATATTGTCAAATATTGTCAAATATTGTCAAATATTGTACAGAGTGCTGCATAGAAATCATATTCATTTCACTAAGCAGAGATTACGACACCACAATTGTGAAGAAATATTGTCAAATATTGTCAAAAATTGTCAAATATTGTACAGAGTACTGCATAGAAATCATATTCATTTCACTAAGCAGAGATTACGACACCACAATTGTGAAGAAATGAAATTTGGTTGGTAAAGAGATGATGAGGATCTATTTTACAAAACCAATTTTAAAGAGGTGAAGTCTTGTAGAGTTCCAAAAATGAAATAATTCATCCAAAATTAGGAAAATTGTGACTCCTTCAGCATCAAAGCTCATTTTCCTCTCTGAAACCAACTCTGAGCCTCAGCTGCTGTGGATTTCTGACAGGATGGGTTTTGTTTCCTTGTTTGARAAAGCACAGGGGGCTTGCAGAGCTCGGTAGCATCGAAGCCTCATCACAAAAAATTCAGACAGACAAGTCCTCCCCCAGATCCAGGGAGGTGATTGAGTAAAGCCTGCTGTAAATTGAAAAGCTCCAGGAGAGACACTGATTAAAGCAGTATCTGGCAGTTTTTCATTTGGCAATGAAATKATATCAGAGGACTAATCAAAGCGAGATACCTACATAATCTATATTTACAACATTTTCACCAGCTCTCAAGTGCTAAATTCACTTTTGAAACTCGGGCTGTGATCACTCTGTTTTGCCTGTGCTGACAGGCATCCTAAGGAATCCTAGAAATTCAGATTTTTTTTTTTCTGATGATTCCTCAGCCAAATAAAAACACATTTCTTGCTCTTCCCAAGCCTTGCAGGAATTCTTACTCCAGAGTGCTGGAGGCTGTGGGAAATGCAGTATCTTGTCTCCTTGGTGACCATAAAAGARCTGTTTGTGTGAGCTGAGCATACCACACAAATGACAGGCCTGGGTGCTGACCAGAGCCCCACTGTGTAAATTCAGAGTTTATTCAAACTTTGACTAATTCTGACTAATTCTGCTAGGAAGAAAACTGCAGGAGAAGAAGAATTTTCCTAGTTTATATTGAGGTGTGTGTAATTCTACAAATATTTTTCTTTTTTGAAGCATTTCCTACGTCTTTAGAAACAGCACTGAATGTTTTGCATGGATTTAATGAAGGGAAGATTTTAGAAAGATTTAGAAAAATTGCAGAAAGGCTCTTTGCTCCCAAAGTGAAAAAAAAAAAGGAAAAAAACACAGGAAAATGCTCTTGTGCTTAAGATTGAATGAAGATGGTGGGAAAAAAAATGTCATATTCAAGGTCTGTGGAGGAGCACATCTGAATAAATTGCCTCTAAACCTTTTGAGACTAATTATRAGGTGTTCATTCTGGGCTCAGGGTTGGATATTTTCCTTTATTTTGTACCCATGACACACAGGAAAAGCACAAGGCCTGGCAGCACTCTCCTTTTTGCTGCTGTTTCACAGAAATGGCCACGTTTTCTGGAAAATTGTGGGGAGATCTCTCAAAGTAGGAGCAGCTGAGCCTCAGGTGTTCAAAGATGCTTTTCTCAGATCTCCCCCCAGGTGTTTGACACTCTGAAGGACAAAGTTTGGCTCTCCACACTCCCCAAGTAAAATCCATGGACATGCAGGATTTTCTTGCTGTGTTGTGCTGGGATGAARGAGCAGGGATTGTTCTCTCCAGGGTTTGGGTGCAGCCTCCTGGCCAGGACAGAATTAGGAGCTGAATTTCTGGGGATCATCTCACACAGCTCCGTGCTGCCAACGTTTGAAACTGCTCCAGTAAAAATTCTGCCACGTTTTTCTTCAGTGCAAACATTTTTGTTTCCTGACCAYGTGCATTTTTCCTGTCTTTTTATGAGTTTATTAGAGTATGGGCAATTGCTTTGGAGAAGGATGGAGGAGTCTAAATGAAGTAAATGAGAAAAGGAGTGCCTCACTTGTTTTTTATTTATTTCTCCCATTCAGATGCGTCACCGGGCACATCCCACCCACGTGCAGAAGCCATGAATTCCAGAAAGCCATCCTTAGAAACAAGGAGAGTTTTCCCTGCTGCCAAAGCCCCGAGCCAGCAGCCATCCCATATCCTGGTGGTGGATGTCACCTCCCCTTCCTGGGCCAACACTTGCTCCGTGCTCTCCGAGGCTCTGGGGAACATTCTGTGCCTGGCGTGTGCTCTGGGAGGGCCCTGCCGTGTGCCCCTGCTCAGCCTCTACGTGGTGCAACCTCAGCAGGAGTGTCTGCTGCCCTTCACGGTATGGCCCTGGCTCTGGAAAAAAAAAAACAAGTTAGGATTTGTATTTAAATTTATATCTAAAAATCTGCATGTAAGTTTAARTCTAAAAATCAACCGTTCTCAAAGCGATCACTGAAGCGTTTCACTGAAGAGGTTGATTTTATCAAAGGATGGAGTTTAAAAGGAGGAATGTCGTTTTTGATCTGTGAACCTGATGTGCATGAATAAGGTTTTGTGCTCTTCCTTACTAAAATATCTGTTTTGGGGCATCTCTCGTAGCTTTTCTGTGCTGCTTTGTGCTGTGCTGCTTCTCTGTCAAAATTATCAAACATAACTCAATTTGGACACTGAACAAATGTTACCACTGTAGGAGAGGTTCCAAATACTGAGCTAAAATATCTGTGCTTAAATATCCTGAAATCCTAGAATCACAGAATTCTCTGGAAAAGTCCTCTAAGGCTAAATTCAGTCCTAAACCCAGCACTGCCGAGGCCACCACTAAATCGTGTCCCTAAGTGCCACATCCACGTAGATTTTAAATAGGTCTAAGTCATTAAAAACAAATATTGCACTCATTTAGGGCTCTGCAGGGGAATAAATGTAAATGGAGGAGGAGAAGCAGCTCTGCAGTAATAATTTGGGAATACAAAATGCATCTTTAAGTTCACAGGAATTTTTGAAGCTGTCCTGTTAGAACCAATCACCCTGAACACTCTGATTTACACAGCATCAGTGTAAACACAGAGAATTAACCCTTCCACTTTAAACAGAAATTGTGGAAACATTTGGAAACGTTTTGTCAAGTAAAAAAATCAGAGGTTAACAGTAAATTAGCATATGTGACCTGCAAGAAGACTCTGGCTAATGGTGGTGTTTATTTTGTTTAAAGGGTTATAGATAATGTGACAAGGATAATTTTATGAGTGCTGCTCCTGCTCAGCTGTCTTTTTTATTTAAACAACAATTCCTCATTTTGAGAGTCACAGTTTTTAAGGACAGAGGAGCCTTCTGATCCCTGTTTGGCTTTCTTTGTATCACASGCTATTATATTTCACTAAAGTACCCCTATCTCATTAAAGCACTCCTTCCAGAAAGCCATCTAGTTTTGATTTCAAGATAGAACAAGATGGGTAATCAAGTGCTTCTCTTGATAATTTCATCCTGTCGTTCATAATTGCCATTGTGAAATGTGCACTTGGTCCTTAATTTGCATTTATTGGCTTTATGCACCAGGGATTTGTTAATATATTTACAAATATAGATTGAAGAGCATGCTTGCATTTTATCCTTTCTCCCTCTAAACAGAAGCAGGCCTCTTCTGAGTCTTCTGGCTGGTAAATCAAGGAAAACAAATAATAAGTTTCACTGTAAACCATTTCTACAATAATTTTAATAATTTCCAGGCCATTCTTTGTGTTCACTCCACTGTTTTTTTGGGTGCAACATTCCAATACCAGAYCTCAGCTGCTGTGCTGCTTTTCAGAACTGCATTAAAGGGTGCTTTATTAAACAAATCACAGAGAGTCAGGAAAGCCCCAGAGCTGAAAATAGAGGCTGGGAGAGTACATGGGGAAGTGGCACACACAGTCACCCTGTTTTGAACCTTTGCTGGGTGCTTTTTTATGGTCTCTGTTCTCACTGGTGTCCTCAACAGGAGAGTCCATAAAGGGCAGGGAGGGTGAAGAAAGGGAAAATAGAAAGTCARTAACTGTGGAGGAGAGAAAATGGTGACAAAATAAGAAATAAGCATTAAAGCATCAAAAAATTTCATGTGAGACTGAGTAAGGCTGAGAGCAGGGCCCTTCCACTGTTCCCAGTCAGTCCCACTGAMAGCCCACCCTACAAACCATGGCTCAGGTGTGGTTCAGCGACTCAGAGCTCCACATGCCTGCAGCAAATGAGTCAAATGTTCATCTGCTGCCTCTTCAGTGAGGAAGGAGACCTCTGGCACAGTGTCTAATATAGTTTTAAATATTTTTGGTAGAGGTCATTAATCACTTTTCCTGTGGCCACCAGTTCAGCTGCKGGGTCTGTCTCAGCCCTGAGTTCTTGGTGAGGCTCAGGTGAGCAGATATCTATGTGACCACCAGCCTTCCTCCTCGTTAGGGAGAGGAATTTCATGTTGTTCACAAGCCTTTCCTGCTCCTTGAACCCTCTTTTGCAGCAAGTGAAAGAAAACTTTGCCCGAATCCAAGGCTGCCTTTCGGAGCTGCGCTCGCTGCCGGCCGAAGGCTGCTTTCCCCAGGGGGGGAACGGCGTGGTGCAAGCTGTGCAGGATGGATTGCAACAATTCAAGCAGTACAGCAGGCACACAGCAGCAGGAGGCTCAGCAAACAGCTCTGTTGAGGTAAGAAAATGCTGGGAAGGGAGTGGGAGCCATCCCACATCATCATGCCTTTTAAATGTATATTTAAAGTACAGCGAACATGCCAGAAAAATTTAGGTGTTCAGCAGTCTGGCTGTTTCAGACATCCACTGGGCAGAAATCCTGAAGGAAAATATCAAGTCCTTTAATCCCTCTGGACAAATTCCTGTGAAAAACAGGAGATATCTGAGGGAAACTGTACATACAGCACTCCTGGCACAGAATTGGATCAATTTTGGTGAACACTGGCTGTTTTCAGCTCAGAATGTGTGTTTTTGCATAAAAGGCAGGGAAGCTGCTAATAACCCATGGGAACAGATGTGTGAATGCAGGAAGCAGAGCAAGGTTCACAGGAGGAAGTATTTTTTTAAGCAGCATGAGCTGACATGAAAGAGCAGGGAGTTATTGAGGGGAAAGGACTCACAGAGAAATGGTGTTTTCCCCTGGACATCAGAAAATATSAGCTCCAAACAATCCTGTATTTCACACTTCACAGGCTCAGGCATAAAACCAAACTGAGATTCCCACAAGTGAAATTTCCCAAGTCTTTCTACTTTGTTCAGGTCCTTAAACCCTTGCAGGGTCTCACAGAGTCACACTGTGATCAGGCTGCAGTTGAGACTCACTCCCAGTGTCTGCCCAGAAAATCTTTCTCCTMATTTTCCACTTTTCTTAGGGCCTTGGGGTATTTTCCCTGACCATTTGAAATGTGATTTGTGCTTTAAAAGTGGGGGTTGGAACAAACAGAGCATGTTTTAGAGACCTTTTCGACACACAACAAAATGCAGGATATTTTCTAGGACAGTTGAAGGAACAAGCTACATTCAAAATTAAGTTATCCATGGATATAGGGAGTTTTTATTCCAMTAAGCAATCCTTGTTCTTCTAGATTATGCAATTCTCTTTGCAAGGGGATGTAAGCCATGCTGCRGGGTAAGCTCTGATCACTGCCAGGCCAGGAGGGAGTTTTACCCTTACAAAAGGTTTCTAAAAAAGGCCTCTTTCTGCTTCAGATATTGAAGTGGTTGCATTTTTTTCCCCCATAGCAAGCATTTTTTTAATGCAGAGTAAGTTGAATTTTTGTTTCCTTTTCTCAGTATCAGTATCACACCAAAACTGGGTGGTGGGAATCACACCTACTGCTKGAAATATCTTTAGGATAGATTGTATGCTTCTTTTAAAAAATATGAAATCCCCATTCAGCTTTCGAGRGAGAAGGGTAAATTTAGTCTGTTGGAACTATAATTAATGTAGAAGTCCCTTCTTACACAGAGAGATTTGAATTATTTGCTAAAAAAAGCAATGGGGGATGAATAGGTCAAAAAATTGAAAAAGGAGCCCAACTGGTTTATGAAGAGAACATTTAACTTTATTCTGTTTCTGAAAAAAATAAGTTCATTTTACTGTATGCAAAGCACAGAGCACAGGACAGCTGAATGCTGTTCATCTGACACAAAACCTGTAGATGTTCCTCCAGTGAACATCTCAATCTATTTTATATTGGATTAAATGTCAGTCAAAGCTCAAAAAAATTGCTTTTAAATAAGTGAGTTATTTCAGCATGATTTCTTTTCTTTCCATAATGGACCAGTGCCTGTCAAGAGAGGATTGAGGGTGGAGGCAGCTCCTGCATGCTCTGATTTATGTTCCAGATCACAATTTTGACCAGCMATCCCAGCAAAGAACTGGTCAAGCAGCTGGAAAAGAAGCTACAAGATGTAGATCTTGTGAGTCTGCGAAGAATTCAGGTCATTGAGGTTCTGAAGAGGGATTTCCTGGAGCCTGAGGATGTGGAGCAGTGTGTGCCAGCAGAGGAGCCCAGTGGTGAGTGGGAGGCAGGCTCAGGGAAAAATGCATTGAGTTTTGGGGGTAACACAGTCTAAATGTGGAGAAAAGTAGCATAAAGACTAAAAAAAATTACGTTAATTAAGAGGCTGAGTACCTGATTTGGTCAGTGAGAAGAATAAAATTAATTAATTAAATTCTGATTTTTCTGAGTAGATGAATTATTTGCTAAAAGAAGCAACAGGGGATGAATAGGTCAAATAATTTGAAAAAGGAGCACAACTGGTTTATGAACAGGACTTTTTACCTGTTGGAGATCCTTCCTTCTGTTTCTGAAAAAGAAATCCATTTTACTATAAAAATAAATATAGTAAAGAACATTGAATTTGCAAGATCCAGCATGCAGGAAGTGCAAGATTAGTGCTGTGTTGAACTAGAAAATAAACACTGGGGTGCAGCACCTAATTATAATTAAGAGCTTCATTTCACTGAGAATATTGCTTCCATCAGTCTTTTAGTGGCTGTTTGAACCTACTGAAACTTTTAATATCCAGAGCAGGATCATGATATTATCCCCTCCACAGGCTCATCCCCAGGTTAGTGCAGCTGGAAAAGACTTCAGCAGATGGAAAACCACCCTGGCAAATCTTAGAACAGCTTTGAACATGCTCAGGTCTCAGAATCAGAGCAAACTGATTCAAGTAAAGCCTGTGGAG